GCACTGTCACTTCTAAGAGATGTCAACTGATGCTGGAGTTTGGATGTGGCACTTGGCAAGTTGGTGGTCCCAGGTCCCAGCTATGTCAGGCGGCCCATACTGTTACCACTGAGGGGCACATGAAACCTCGGCATGTTTGCAACACATACTTCTGCCATCTCAAAACCTCATCGTGTTCGGTTCGTGTTTGAAACCACCGACCTGTCGACCTGTCGAGGAGCCAGCGTTCCATGCGGTGAAGCGGACCTCATCGAGTGTGACTACACGGGCCAGCGGGAGCCCGGAGCATTTGTACGCGCGCGTGGATTGTGAGCCGCCACCGTTTCCATGAGCTGAGCATAGGGAGCCAGAAAGAGTTTGCGGGGGCCATCTTTGAAGTCGGGAATGGAGTGTATTAGGTATGGACAGGCATGGTGAGTTCACAACCTCGATCGTAGGCTGGAACATTCGTCCAACAGCGGGCAAGGATTGGGCGGATTTGATGGACGTATTTTTGGTTGAAACCATGTTTTAGCTTCTTTCCTTTGTTGAGAGATGTTGAGAGTCCGGATAACAGCAACTTGGCAGAGTCTTTTTTCTGGATTATATAGAGTCCTCCTTCGGGATTGACCCTTAGTTAGTGGTGGCACTGCAAGAAACTCTTGACAAAACGAGATTTTTTGTTTTAAGACGGCGTAAAGCAAACAACACAATAATGCCAAAAAGGAATGCATTTGCTATGCAACCCTCCCAAGACTACCGGAGGTCTTCTCCACTCTTGCACGATAAACATCAATAAATGACATGAAAGCCGTTGTGTAATTGCACAAAAAGAGGTTGTGGAATGTTGTGGAATGTTCCAAAGCGAGCTGAACAGTCAAAAACAAAAATACCATGAATCTTAAGTTATACCAAGAAAGCGATCATTTCAGCAAAATAGCACGATATGAACTCGGCAGATGTTCAGTAGGGCCGCTGGTGGATGCTAAACCCAAGAACCAAAAGAAACAGTTTGACAAGGAAATGCTTATGGCAAAACCACTCAAAGGCACTCAAAGGCGCTTTCAAGCAGTTGAGGCAGCCACGGGGACTCGATAGCTAGTGATTGGTTTTAAACAGTCACCATTTTGTTGCCTCTCCCACTCCCCGACTCCCTTCCGAGCCCAGCATGGCTGGATCTTACAGTTTTTGGGCCGGTTAGCGTGCTCGTTGTGGTTGCCCTGGCTCGTTTGTCTCATGTTGGATATGTTGAGAGCCCCAGCAGTTTGAGCAATAGAAACTGGTCGGGAAAATAGGTATGTCTCCAAGTGACATCAAAATCTAAACCAATAGTGGGGGAGTGCTGTGCTTTGACTTGTCGACACCGCCTGACACTAACCCCATCCCATTCCTTTTTTCGACCAAGAAGATCAGATGGTGAAGATGATTTGATGATGACAGATGGTTTTTTCTTGGAAGCAGTGCTAGAACTTTAGACAGAGGATTCAGGCCATGTGAGTGAGGCATTGGGGTTTTTGGGGCTGTACAGAGACCCTCTACAAACCGGTCCCACGGTTGGTTTGTTATGTCAACTTCACTTGCGTTGCAACCATGGCAGCCAGTGTTCTCGCTTTGGCTCTTTGCCAACTCGCGATGTTGCAGAGTTCCTTCGAGTTGCATTGATGATCATTGATGTATCTCTTCAGTTGTCCCAGCATGATGTTTCTACTTCACTCTAGACTCTTGCGTTCACAAGTCCTTTTCACAGTTGGCTATAACCCAAAAATCCTGTGGTTCACATTTCACTACATACTACTGAGTACTGACCTGCTGCTGCTGCTGCTGCGGCTACCGCTACGATGACGACGACGACGACTACTACTACTACTACTTCTACTTCTACTATTTCTATTACTACTACTACTACTACTACTCCTACTCCTACTGCTACTGCTACTGCTACTGCTACTGCTACTGCTGCTGCTGCTGCTGCTACTGCTACTACTGCTACTACTGCTACTACTACTACTACTTACGACTTACCACTTACTACTTACTACTTACTACCTACTACCTACTACCTACTACCCACTACCTACTACTACTACTACTACTACTACTACTACTACTCCTGCTACTACTACTACTACTACTACTCCTACTACTACTACTACTACTACTACTACTACTACTACTACTACTACTA